TCCGTTGATGATGTCGATCACGGACTCGAAGACGCTCACGGGGAGCTGGGGGGGAGGGGAGGCGTCAATCCCCGATTTTGGGCACCCAAAAATTGGGAAAAGGGGAAAAAAATTGGGATTTTCCCCAAAATTTGGGGTTTTTTCCCAAATATTTGGGGTTTTTTTCCCAAAAATTTGGGGTTTTTTCCTAAAAATTTGGGGTTTTTTCCTAAAAATTTGGGTTTTTCACACCAAAATTCGGGGTTTTTCCAAAGGTTTTGTGGTTTTTTCCTAAAAATTCGTGGATTTTTCCCCCCAAATTGGGAAATTTTCCCAAAAATTTGGAAGTTATCCCAAAAATTTGGGGATTTTCCCTTAAAATTGGGGATTTTTCCAAAAAAATTTCGGGTTTTTTTCATCAAAATTGAGGGTTTTACCCCAAAATTTCAGAATTAATTCTCAAAATTGGTGAATTTTCACAAAAAATTGGGATTTTTTTCCCAAAATTTGGAGTTTTCACCTCAAAATTTGGAGTTTTTCCCCAAATTTTGTGATTTTTCCCCCAAAATTTGAGGTTTTTTCCCAAAATTTGTGATTTTTCCACCCAAATTTGTGATTTTTCCGCCAAAATTTGGAGTTTTTCCCCCAAATTTTGGAGTTTTTCCCCCAAATTTTGTGGTTTTTTCCTCAAAGTTTGTGAATTTTTCCCCAAAATTTGAGTTTTTTCCCCCAAATTTGTGATTTTACCCCCAAATTTGTGGTTTTTTCCCAAAATCCCCGTTTTTCACCCCAAACTCACGTCGGTGTGTTTGGTCATGGGGTTCAGTTTCAGGAACAGGGGGCTCTCGATGATCTCACAAACCTGCCCCAAAAAAAACCCAAAAATTCCCAAAATCTTCCCAAATTCCCGCTGGAAACTTCAGGGAATTCCCAAAATTCCCAATTCCAGCAGAAATCCGGGAAAAATTCACCCAAAATCCCCCCAAAAATCCCCCCCAAAACGCCAAAAAAACCCAAAATCCCCAAAAATTCCCCAAAAATCCCCCCCAAAACCCCCCAAAAAACCCAAAATCCCCCAAAAATCCTTCCAGGATCCCAAAAATTCCCAAAAATCCCTTGGAAATCTCCCAAATTCTCCCCAAAATCCCAAAAATTCCCCCCAAAAAAACCCCAAAAATCTCCCAAAATTCCACCCAGGAAGCCCAAAAATTCCCAAAATCCCTCAAAAATTCCCAAAATTCCTCCCAAAATTCCCCAAAAAAACCCAAAATCTCTCCCAAACTCCCAAAAATTCCCAAAATTCCCCTTGAATTCCCAAAAAAACCCCCCCCAAAAAAAAACCCCCTTAAATCCCCCCCAAAAATTCCAAAAAATTCCTGAAAATTCCCAAAAATTCCCCAAAATTCCCAAAAATTCCCAAGAATTCCCAAAATCCTTCAAGTCCCTCCCAAACTTCCCAAAATTCCCCTTGAA